CTGGCCGCGCGGTGCGCTCCTTCCCTGCTGCCTGGGCGAGGAGGCTTGTGTGCAGGCACACCCCCACGTCCCTTCGGCGCCGCTGCCTCTGCTCCACTGGCCTCAGCTCCGCCCAGCTCTCCGCCACACGCCGGTAGCGACATGGCACACGCGGCGGTACGCTGCCCCAGCGCTCTGGGCTCCGGGGACGGAGAGATGGGCAAGCCCAGAAAAGTGGCGCTCATCACTGGCATCACGGGCCAGGTGAGTGCCGAGGCGGGAGTTCGAGCCGGGCCTGCTGCTGCTGGGGCACGTGTGCGCCCCGCGCTGGGGGCTGCCTGCGTTACCAGGAACAGCCTTCTGGGCATCCCGGAAGGTTTCCGATGTGGCTTGTTGTAGAGGTCGATGACAAGATGTGCCTTGTGGGGAGTGTGCTGAATGCATGGAATGCTTCTAGGCTTCCCTTGGGGCGTGGGAGCGTGTGTTCTACTTGGGATGTGGTCCTCATACCTGAGTAAGACTCTCTCACCTGTCCAGCCGGCGACTGCAGTGCTTGTTTCTCCAAGCCCTCTAGGGTGCACTTCCAATTTAGTTCTTTGCAGATCCTAGTGCTGGGGGAGGGAAAAATGACTGGTTTTCTGTGAGTGAGTGAGTGAGTGAGTGTGTGTGTGTGTGTGTGTGTGGAGTCAACTTGCTGTATTTCCGTGTAAGGGCCAAGGCCATTTACCTGCTAATGCTTGGGAAGCAGGGGAGTTTTTGCTGTTTTGGTTCCCCTTCACCAGATTTCCAGACAGAAAAAACAAAAGAAAGTAATGCCGAGGAGTCATAGACCAGGAAATATTTTTTGTTTAAAAAGCACACCTCACAAAAACTTTTTAAACACACAAACTCCTGAAATTCATGTTAATACATTTGAAGTGTATCTGACAGACTGGTCCGAAGTTAGGCTAGGGTTCTATTTCCAAACAAAAGGAGTTCCTTAAGTGATATAATCATGAGGAGCTGTCCTGCATGTTGGAACCCCATGTGCAGACTGAGCATGGCTCTTTCCTGACAGTCATCTCTTAGAGACATTGCAACAGGTAGGACCTCACCACTGGATCTAACCAAGCTGTGCTGCTTTAGATTCATTGGTGATGGAATGATTTTGCTCATTATTTTTGTAGACAAAATGTTATATGTGTGCTTCTGGAGATCTCTTGATTGTGGCTAATATTACTCTAATGGAGATGATGGCTAATAAATGTGCTTATTGTGTATTGGTCACATGACTAATATTAACTCATTTAGTTTTTAGAAGTACTCTTTGAAGGGGTACTTTTTTTTTTTTTTTTACCTCCACTTTACAGATGTGGAAAGTGAGGCATGGGAGTTTGATTTGTCTGAAGTCAAACAACTAGAAGTGTCCAGCTGGGATTCAAACTCTGCTCTCATAGCACTCTAGCATAAGAAAAGAAATTGGAATTGGCCAGATGTAGAGTGCAAGAATATTAGATGGTTTTAACTACTGGATATCAAATTAGTTTCTGGTTATTCATCTTACTTTGTTTAAGGTTATTACAATAAAAAACTGTTTGAAAACTGGTGGAAGAGGTGGATAGGACAAGGATTTGAGATTGAGGAAGTGAACCATTAAATTTAGGCAAGGGCCTATATGCTTTCAGGTCATGGCCTACATACTTTTTTTTTTTTCTCCTAATGCTGAGGACTCTTCTGTAGATGGTTTCCCTTTTTCCAGTTTCTTAGACTGGATCTGAAGCTCAAACGTTTACTAAGCTTATATGAACTCTTGAAGAGAGAGATTTTTTTAAGTAAACATTAAGAAATTAGTTAAGCTTGTTAATGTAACTCTGTTGGTATGGCTTATACCAATTTAAGCGACTAGCACTATCAATTAGCACAGATTAGACATGGGACCTTGTTTAGAGCTTTGAACACAGTCATCTGTTTGGTACTGAGTGGCAAGGAAGGTGCGGAAGTGGCCCCCATTGTAGTTTGTCCAATAGGCTGCTGCAGGGGAGTCTTCTTTAAGCACATGTTCAGCGTGCTATGCCCTAACCAGACATTTTTGGCTCACCACTTCATTTTGGCTCACCACTTCACTTCCAACTTTAAACTCCTTGAGTTTCAGTCTCCTTTTACCTTCAGCACCAGTATTTTCCTCTTTCCTCCCACCTTCACCCTTTGCATTGTCCCTTTCCATGTTGGGTTTTTGTGTTGGCTTCTGTACCCCTGGCAGAGTGCTAAACTCTGTAGCTGCACATAAATCCTTGCTAATGGAATTTACTGCTCTGCTATGCTTTGCATTTATCTTCTAGGACAGTGCCTCCTAACCTGAGTATCAAGGATCTTCAGAGGACTGTGAAGTTAATACAAAAGACCTGAAAATCCATACATTCTTGTCCATTTTTAAAATAGTATTTGGTGAGAGCTTACTGAACTACTCACTCTGCTGAACACTTTATATATCCCTACCTTAGAGGCAGGTACAGTTTTTATTCCCAATTTATACCTGGCTAAGTAAGGTTAAGTATGTTCCCTGGGAGTGCACATCCAGTGAGTGTCAGAGCTGAGATTTGAACCAAGGAGTTGCTTAGAGCAATTTTGTTAATGCTGCTTCTGTGGTAAGCTATACACATTACAGTACAGGTTTGTGTGTCTGTGTGTGTGTGAGAGAGAGAGAGAGTGAGAGAGAAAGAAAAAGAGAGAGCCTGTTTTACTCTAAGAAGAGATCTCAGATTCAAGAAGGTGAGGTAGATACCATTGCCCTTAGGGTATTCATGGCAATTGTGCTATGATGGGCTCTTAAATGGGTTGTCCCTAATTCCCACTTGAGAATGAGTGCAGATAGCCATGGTGCCCTGTCTGCTATGCATCTCTAGTACTTACTGTCAGGTTTCATATACTAGCTTTCTCCCTCCTGTCTATTCTTTTTTTTTTTTTTTAAGATTTTTATTTATTTGTCAGAGAGAGAGAGAGAGCACAAGCAGGGGGAGAAGCAGAGAGAGAGGGAGAAGCAGGCTCCTCACTGAGCAAGGAGCCCGATGTGGGACTCGATCTCAGGACCCTGGGATCATGACCTGAGCTGAAGGCAGATGCTTAACGACTGAGCCACCCAGGCGTCCCTCCCTCCTGTCTATTCTTGATACAGTAATTGTGAATCATTTTCTAAAGTTTTTACCTTATTAAATCACCTTAAAGAAAACCACGCTCAGGCTTGGCTTTGCTGCCTCTAGGCCCTCTACCAGCCATCCCCAGAGCTCACCTCCACTCTTTTAATGTGCTTGTGGTTCTTTACTACACATATGGAACTGTTCTTGCTTTTCTTTGAATACTATCTCTTTGTACCCCCATTGGAGTCATTTTGTGGCTGAATGCCCTCACAGGTCTTACTCCTTTTCAATCAACTAAAGCCTCTGTATACTCCAACTATTCCTGCCAAATGCAGCCATTCCAGGAACTTTCTTTGTATTTACATATATGTAGTCTCTGTTGGCTATATAGGTAATTTGCACATCTTAGTTCTTTGGTTTGTAAACTGCTTTAAGATAGAAACCTTTCAGCGTATTATTTCCCACATAGTTTTGCTTAGTGGGCTTTCAAAAATGTTGACTTTTCTCATTAACAACACAGCTTTACTCTGTTTCTGCAGGGTACAAGGCTGTTTTGATGCTGGTGGGAATATAACGATATGTAAGATGTACTCATTGCCCACTAGGATCTTACAGTCTTTGAGGAACCTAAGACCATGCACGTGAAAAAAGTAGTACTGTTCAAGTATGGTAGTGAAGTAGTGAAGTAGGAAACTTGTATTGTACAAGTGATGTAGTATTGTAGTCTTGTACAAGTAGTGAAGTAGTAGTATAGTATTGTATAAGTAGTGAAGTAGTATTGTAAAAGTATGTTAGAGGCCAAATGAATGGTTTATCCAATGTCCAGGACTCTTGGATAAGTCATTGAATGCTAGAAATAGCAGGGACTGTGTTGGGTTGAACAGCATGCACAAGAGTGAAGAGAGGAGACAGTTTTGGGGACAGTGAGGACACTGTAATAATAATGGAGGGAATTTAATTTATTAAATTATTTATACCTCTTGCTCATTTCCAAAAAGTTTCTGAAGTGGCATCAATAAAAAACACATCATTGGACCATTTTAAAAAGAATGAAAAACAACAACAACAACAAACCAGCCAACTCCAAACCAAAAAAACAGGGGTCTGCAGTGAAGGCAATAGAAAGGTGGATGTAGTGTACCAAAACCCAAAGTTAAGGATAGCTACTGTCAAGGTGGACATAAAATTCAGCTTTGACTTTCCTGTGAGTCAAGACAAAGTGGAAAGGTGAGTCAGACTTTTTATTAGTATTACACTCTTAGAGAAATAACTTTAAACAACAAAACAACATGATGCACAATATGCTTGATAGTAGTTTTTTTAAAGAAGACAGTCATCTCCTTAGGACACTTTTATTACTCCCTAATGGATGGCAAAAGCACACTTTTTGGTAGATAGAGACATAATTGAATGGTTAGTGTTTGTGGATTTTTTCCTTTGTTAAACAGATATTTTTCTAATATCTGTTATTTCAGGCTGGTCACTGCCAAGAGAGTAGGCAGGTTTGAACTGTAGATTACTTTGTCAGATGTGTTGATTGTAAGGTTAATATTGGTGTTTTAAAAGTGGAAGTATTTGACAGGGTGTGGTCCTTCTTACCTGTAAGTTGGCCTAGATTTTCCTTGGGAAGTGGTTTAGATCTGGCCAAACATTTAGGCAAGTACCAATTCAATGCTCCAGATTTCTGCTTCATGACACATGGAAGACAAAGCATTTATCTTTAAATAGTTACAGTCAAGAAGAGTTAACTTGTCTGTGGTTGGAAGACAACAGACTTTTGGTAAGTCTTGCAAAGATGAAAGAGATGGACACTTTGGGTTATCAAGGTCAGATTCTTTAAGTCATATTATTTTGTTTCAGAATTTTGTTTTTATGGCCTTATTTTTAATTTTCACTACTTTTATTAGTTTCTGGTCTTTAAAGAAAACATGTAAAATGGATGACCTAATTCCCTAGACTCAGGTGGCTCTTGCAGGCTTCATGTTCTTCATTTAAGAGTTAATTTAGCATATTAGAAAATGGTAATTGAGAATTGGCAGGAAGTACCATTCTTCCCACAGTTTTCCTTATCCCCTTTTAAATAATGCTTCAATTGAATTATAATAGATAACTGGGACATTACCTCTTTTGGTTTTACTTTCTAATCCATAT